CCGGGCTATTGGAGGTTACTGCATATAAAGTGCTTGACACAGTCCTAGCTTACTTAGCACAGTCGGCTCACTGCTCAGTATATTAGGTGTTAGTATTATAGAGTTCACATTCCCACAGGGCAAGAGATCATATCGTACACACTAAATATAGTCCAGGAAAGCCCTCTACTGGGACGCTGAACAAAATGCCATAAAAGCTCTGATGAAAAAGAGAATTCATGAATTCATTTGTAATTAGTTTTATTGAGCTGCCTTTGAAGTGGTAATCATTACTGACAGGAGGATGGGGGAGGGGGGTACGGGTGTCTCAAGAGAGGTGAGCTCTAAGCTGGACCTTGAGGATTGGATTCACTAGTGGGGAACAAAAAGGTAGAAGTGGTATCCAGTGAGTTAGAGCCTGAACAGCTAGCATGAGCCAAGGCTTGGCAGTGGCAATTGGGTGGCATGTCCAGGGTCCGGCAATTGGGTGGCATGTCCAGGGTCTAGCAAGTGGTATGGAGAGAACAGAGAAGATGCGGCCAGAAGGATAGGTGAGGGCCAGGGTTCAACCATCCCTAGAGAGCAATGTGATTCAATCTATGTTTTACAAAAATAACTCAGGGGCTTCCTGGAGGATGAAATACATAAAAGCGAGATTGAAAGCAGACAGCCTGTTATGAAACGATCATGGCAACCTGAACTGGGGCAGCAGCAGTGAGAATGGAGGTGAGGATAGGTAGAATTGAAAGGGACTTGGAGACTAGAAAGCACTTAATGACCAACTAGATGTGAGGGGTAGAGGAGCCATTCAGGAATGACTTCATAGTCTAGCATGAAATAAGAAAAACAGGAAGAGAAGCAAGTTTGGAGAGAAAGATAATGAGTTCAGTACTATAAATATTAAGTTTGGGGTGTCTGCGGAAATACTATCCAAGTGGGCAGTTTGGAATATAATTCTGGAGTTCAGGATAGACCCGTCCAGGATGGTGGGAAGAAGGGAAAGTAGAGAAAAAGGGAGAAGTGACACTTTAAAAAACGATCCTTGCATATCTGCACAGCCCACCTGGTTCTAAGAAACAGAACCAGAACTGGACAGACACCTCTCCAAAATACTAACCTATACCAGTAAAACGGGTTCACTCATTGCACCTTAATATGCCTGTGCATTCACTCTGCAGCTTTTCTTCCCTCCATTCAACATATACTGATTAGGCATCTATTGTGTGCCAGGTACTGTTCTAGATTTTGGTGATACAGAAGTGAAAAAGTCAAAACCCTGCCATCGGGGAGTTTATGTTTTAGAGCAGGAGACAGTCAATAAACAAATAACTGAATAAATATAAAATATAATTTCAAGTAAATAAATGCAATAAGGAAAAATAAAGCAGGTAAGAGTTTAGGAAGTTACCAAGTGGGGAGAAGAAGAGGAAATCTTTGAAATCGGATGGTTGTGGTCAGGGAAGTCATCTCTGATGAAGTGACATTTTAAACGGAGACCTAAAGTGATGGAGAAAGCCATGTGAAAATCTGGAGGAAGAGTGTTTCAGGCAGAGGGAAGAGCAAATACGAAGACCCTGAGGTAAGAACTAGCTTGGTATGACTGAGACACAGTAAGGCAGCCAACTTGGGCGAACAGACCAAATAAGTTACAGAGTATCTTGTGACATTTCTGGTACTATTGTCTGGTATTATTAACTAACACTGTTGTAAAGATTTTCATGGATTTATATCCTATTTTCCTAACCTCCATGTAAGCCTATCGAGGGCAAGGTCTATGTTCAAACTTCATACTCCCACAGTACCTAGAACAATGCCTTGCACGTAGTGGGTGGTCTTTCTCCATTCATTCATCTGAATTAATCAGTGGTGATCTCTAGGCCTGCCTTAGCCCACTCTCAAACACCTCTGGGTAAATTTCAGAGCTGTCCACCACCTAGGAAACCACTGGTGAGCTATTTCTAGTACTATTGTGGTCTGTGAGAAACCCCAGCTGCATCCAGAGCAACATAGGAAGCCCATACACCTAGATTTACCCTTGCCACTTGCAAACCTGGTGGTTTTACTTAGGCTCTAATATTGAAGACTGCAAAGTGAAGCAATTCTGCACATGCTTGGAGAAGCTGCTGGCTTTGCCACAGTTCTGTGCTTAAACATTGCAATAATATTATTATTATCCCACAGGGGTGTCATGGGGATTAATGAGACATTTTCAATTCACTTTGAGATACTCCACTGGGGGTACTAAATAAATGGTATGTGTTCCTCCTGAAGTGCCATGTTTGACATTGATTTGTTGTGATGGGTTCTGTTGTCCAACAGGGCTGGAATTCGCCCACCAACTCATTTCCTATAAACAATAGACTAGCCGTCAGAAGGCGGTGGTTTTCAGTTAAAATAAATATGAAGCGAAGCGAACTAGTCGGCAATCAGAAGCAAATAGGCTGCTGTTAGAAATCTAGTATTTATTAAGCACTCACAGTGATCAACATTAAGAGCTTCACAGTGTGATACAGTAGAGAGAACACTGCACTTGGAAATGGTCCAAGGTTTCAGGCCCAGCTCTGCTACTAACTAGCTGTGTGAGCTTGAAGAACTTGCTAAACTTCTCTGGCCCTCAAATATAAAGTAAGGGTTGTCCTAAGGAGCTCGTAATCAGTCTTCCAGATAAGGCAAATACATGAAAGGGATGAAAATAGTCATTTCTGAAGGAGAGATACTTCACAGCAGGGAGAAGCTCGTGACCATCCATCACAGGACCATCCTCTGTTCTGGTCTTCCTTGCCATTGATTAATATTAATTTCAGTACTAATTCCTGCAAATGGAGAAATAAATCACTTTCTAAGTCAGACATAAAAGTGCATGAAACATTTGGTCTTTTAAAAATAGGGTCTTTGCCTTTCTCCGGGGCCATCCTTGCAGCAAGCCATCTTCTTCTTAGATTTAAAGATATGAATGATTGATTCTACTGCTACCCTAATCGCCAGCTCAAAAGCAGTGTTCTGGTTTTGTGAGAATGTTTTACATGGCTTCCCACTTTTACCATCTTACAACATATGTCACTGCCTGAAGTGCCCAGCGCTGACCTGGAGGTAAAGTGGAAGATAGAAGGAGAGTAAAGAATATGGGTCCTCGTTGTATCCGGAAGAGGCAGAGGTGGGAGCCCTGTGGCACAGCTGAGTAATGTACTGTATTGTGCGCCCAGCCTACCCTCACTCCTCATTCCAGGAATCTCAGTGGTTCTGCACTCAGGAAGAAGACATGTTGACATCCAGGAGCAGACAGACATGCAAAGAATCACTGGTTGCGGAGTTCAATTCAGCAAACATATTGAGTTCCTACTATTCATCAAGCACTTCGGTAGCTGCTAGGGACATAAACTGAGTAAGACCTAGTCTCTGCCCTAGTGAATCTGGGGGTTGGGAGCAGTGGTGGCAAGCCATGACCACAAACCACTCTTACTTCACGTCCAATTGCCAGCTAAGGTATGATGGGTGAGGGAGTTGTCTAGACAACAGTTCCTCTTTTGTTATGATTTCAACCATACAACAGAAAACACATTTTTAAGCCTGGGGTTAACTAAATTAGAGTTGCTAAAATGTCTGGAAACAGAAATTGTGTAAAGTGACCACGACAATTTGGAGAAATAGTTTGGGTTCAAAGGGAATAAATGTAAGTTATTGTCTTCAGGCCCAAACAGAGCAACTGAGATACAAGTTGTGGAATGAATGTTCTCCCAGTTTAACGACTAGAGCATGGCAAACCTCCCACCAGCCAGCAGTGGAACATTAAGAAGATGGTGTCTAGGCACAGGTCTCGCTCTCGTCCCTCGCACAACAGACTTAAGCTGAGATGTGACTTTGCTTTTTCCTTTTCCTCTTATTTCCTCACTGCCAGGAATTTTCACCGCATTGAAAGAACCAGGCTGCTCTCCCCAATCCCAACCAGAAACGTGGTCCTTGGCTCTTCCCAATGGATGGAATCTCAGCTATGGAAGTCAGTGTGAACTATTCGCTGTAAGAAGCAAAGTCCCTGAGGGCCTCAAATGACCCACTTTCTTCAGACTTCGGGTGCGAAACTCATCAGCACCCATACGCCCTTCGGCTTCTCATCCAAACCGGAGCTAAATTATTTAGAGCCCTCCTGGCCTGCCGGTCTTCTACCCTCAAGTGGGCTCAGGATACTGGCCGCAGACTTGCCTCTTCTCCAGGGCGCCCACCTGGCCTGCCACCCTCTCCCTGGACACGGCTCCGGGTCCGGGGCACGTCCCCATCCGCCCTCCTCTCCTGCCTCCACCTGCTGGCCCCTCAGCTGCGCCCAGGCCCAGGGCGCTCGCTGGGCAGCGGTGCGCATCCAGGACAGATGGAGAAGCCCCGCAACTGAGACGTGGCCTCGCGGGCCGGGGGAGAGCGGCGCTGACCCGGAGCGGGCCGAGCGCAGGGGTGCGGGCTCAGGGCCGGACACCAGCAGGGCCGCCTCAGTGGGGTGGAGGTTCGGGAGGGGGGACAGCGAGGTGCACAATGAGGCCGCACGGGTGACTCAGAGGGGCTAGGAAGGAGGCCGAGCCGGGCGTGGCCGCGCGCGCGCCCGCGTGGTGGGCGGGGACCCCGAGGGGCCGCGGAGCGCGGGCGCGCGGGCGGGGAGGGCGCGAAGGAGGCGCGGAGGCGGGCAGAGGCGGCGTCTCTGCGGAGGAGCCCGCGGG